TTTTTTATATATATATATATATATATATATATATATATATATATATATATATATATATATATATATATATATATATATATATATAAAGATTGTCAGTATAACTGATAAGATAAAGTAGTGTTGTTTTAGTCAACTAGAACTAAAACTAAAATTCTATTTTAGTCATGCTAAAATAGTTTAGTCCACTAAAACTAAACTAAACTAATTTTAGAGATAAATACTAGAACTAAACTTTAACTAAAATAAAATACACATCAGCGACTAAAACTAAACAAGACCAAAATTGTTTTTATACTCTGAGAACTGAACTAAACAAAAGCTAAATATTTACAATTCGGACTAAAACAAACAGTAACCGCGAGCATATATTTTAATTAAAAAAGAAAAGATGAAAATTTAAAAAAAATGAATGTCTAATTAATCAATGTTTGTAAATCGGATAAAGATTTGTTCTGATTTACACTATATTCTGTAAACTTTAGTTTAGCTTCTATTTTCACGGCTAAAACCAACCACATCGACAAAATAGTTGGGAAACCTGATTAGTGATTTTAAAAAATGCATTCGTATTTTTAAGACTAAATTGAAATGACTGTTTTAAGCTAGAACTAAACAAAAACTGAATCACTTGTTTCAAACTAGAACTAAACTAAAACTTAATTGAAATTCTTCTTTCAAGCTAGAACTAAACTAAAACTGAAAATAAATTGGTAGTTTAAAAACTAAAACTAAACTTAAAACACCGTACTAAAACAACATTATGATAAAGCCATATTATATATAACGTAATATATGCATGTCCATATTCCTGCTTAGCGCTTAGCAAAATATATTTACACTTACTAGTGGCACCGCATGTCTTGCAACAGTTCACTTTCATAAAATTGTAGTACAGGTGACTTTGTACACAATATCCTAGCTTTTTCCATGCGATACAGCTATTTTGTTTGCGCTTATCCTGACATCCTAAAATAATCATGTAAGAACACTTCTGAGTTACGTGTCATCCACAGACCTTTATTAACGGGTCTTTATTAATTTTACCCTTTTAATATAGCCAGTAGCCACTAACTTTGTCGATAAAAGAAAACTATAACCTGATTGGTTGATTTCAGTTCCCGTTGTCTTTCGGCCAATCAGATAAGTCTCAATCTGGCTACAGATTAATTAATTATCCAGCAAAATTAACTGTTACATTTTTTTCCCAAATCGAGTCCAAAAACTCGCGAATCAAATAACGGATTTTTAGGGGGGAAATGTATACATCACTTGTCTCGTTGCAATTGGGGTCAATTTGACTACGAAATCGCAAATTTTTGTGGTTTCGAAACATTTTTTTACTATACAACGTTTGCGAAGAATATTGTGGACTGAGGGAGGCGAATAAAACTTCATGAACCTGTTGAAAAGTGCCCCACAATGCCAAAATCTGTGCTCCCCCCCCCCCCTCCGTCGGCAAAAATGGCTTCCTTCGCCAAAGGCAAAGCATTCACGTTAAATATACTCCCAAATCCTGTTGGCAAATTGCTTCACATCTCTACCAAATAATGGATGTTCGAAAACCTTTGAAGGGCCATTGAATTTGCTATAGAACATGAATTGCCTTATGACTCGTGTCATGATCAAAAGTATGACAATATCAATTCAGGTAATGTATTTTCTTAAACACTATTAATTTCCAGTCAATCAGAAAAATTTAAGACTAATTCAAAATCAATATTCTGACCAATCAGTGTGTCGGGGCAGGTAGGTGCTCCCAGAACTTTTTGGGCAAGCGGTATTTATTTATCACTGACAGCAGAAATCTCATTTATCGCCGTACAAATTTGTTATCACTCCTCTTTAAATAATCCCTCGTACTATACCTGTAGGTTTTGGTGGAGTTGGTTTGGGTTTGCACGTCCTGCAACAATGCTGTATCATGTATCTTTTGAACAAAGCGTTGCTGCAAAATGACAGCTTCTTCGATTCGATACACCATTGTTTGTGCGAGGTACTGTCTTTGCAAACTAGAAATTAAATGTGAAAAGGGTGTCAGTTCATTTGTATTCCCCATGCAATAGTACACGTCTACCCACACCGTATTTGTACGCGGATAATAAATTAATACTATATAAATTATATAAGCAGTCAATCCATCAAGAAATTTAGGTTGGTACATGCAACTCACCAACCGAAAAATCCATTTCATTCATATACTTCGCCCATATATAGGTTGTTATATGAATTTAAACCTGGATGTCTACTTCAATTTATTCCGAGTTGCCGTTGCCGGACCTCGAGAAACATGCAAGACTGCTTGATATAGCATATTTTGATACATGTAACATTAATTTCACCTGTTGGTTTCGTTGGCTTCACTGTTGTACCGCCGCACTTATACAAAAGTTTAACTTGCTGTTTATCCTTCGGGCTCAATCCCCTACGTTGACCAAGAGTCCTGTGTCCTTGTTTGCTGGAAATTGTTGTTAATCCTCGAGCCCTTGCAAATGCAGTTGCTCCATAATGCATAACGCTATCATAATCATAACTCACACCTAAACTGTTAACACTTGATGTTGTTTGTTTTTGGAAGTTGAATTTCATTGCTAGAAAAAAAACGACATTTATTGAATGCACTTATAAGGAACATTTGAAATTATTATTTAACTTTAATTTATCTTTATTTTACCTTTAATTTAACTTTAAGTTATCAACTCAATAGCTGACCAAATTTGCAGTTTCGACATAATATTCAACCATATCTATGTATTCAACGCAGTAATGTCATTACGTTGAATATAAAAAAAAATCATATTCAACGTTATGACGTCATGCAATGGAAACACGATTCCAGCGAACAGTGTGACCAGATTTGGTAATTTTAATTACTTTTGGTAATATTTCGCGATTTTTCCGACTTTTTTGGTAATTGAAAATTTTTGGTAATTTTTTTAGTAATTTCTCTTAAAGTTTATAGTAATATTTCGGTTATCACATGAAATTCAACCAAATACACCATGATGACATTCAAAAATTCAATGAGAACAGTTGCAGGTCCATGCCTGCAAAGCAGTACATCCAAATTGCATGCTGCTGCCCAAGCTGTCCAGATGAATCGACGGAATTCTACTGATCACCACTCACCCTGTGCTGATTGCGAGCTAGGGACCCGGGGCACGGGCCCGATCATTGCGGCGCCATATTTGCATTTTGTACAATTCAGTGCAATCAAAAAGTGCAAGTGAGAGAGAAAAACATGGGAAAGCAAGTGAGAGAGAAACAAACGTCTGGCTTGATAATTCTTAAATGTCTTAGTATTAAATGTTTCATCCCTATATAACCCTATCCCTAACCTCCAAATTTTGTTCGGTCCACAAAAAGCGAACAAGGGTTTTAAACCTGAATTTTATGAGATTCAACTGCCTTATTTCACCTCCTTGTTCAACAAATTGTTTTGTACTTTTGAATTGTCCCATTTTGGCTTAAATCTCTACATTAACCGAACACAAAACTGTTTCACATTTTATCTTATTTTATTATTTATTTAAAGGAATACGTCAGTATATACGTCTGCTATATTCAACTATAATGAATAATAAGTTCTTAGTAGATTTGCAGGAAACACCAGTCTATTTATTTCTTTGCAGTACCTGAGTACAGTAATAAATTTACGTGGTGTTTCCACCAGTGTGACCAGATTTAGTAAAAAGTAAGTTTTACTTTTGGTAAAATTTCGTGAATTTTCAAGAAAATTTGGTAATAAGTTTTTTTTGGTAAAATTTTGGTAAAATCTGAAAGGATTTAATTATTAATAATCATTTTGGTAAAAATGTGTGTTTCTTGTTTAATAACGTAGAAATAAAGCCTTATCATTCGCAAAACTGCAATACGATGAAAGCAACAAGTATTTCGAGACACCTTTTTCTACTTTGATGACGTAACTATTGTTTTTTTGGCATTATTATGACGTAATTATTTGGAAGCCGACATTTGGTAAAAATTTTCTTAATTTAGTAAAATTTGAACAAAATTTGGGTAATGACTGCTGAAAACATCTGGTCACACTGATACTTTCCACAGACAAACAGGGCTCTTTTAACATATAGACTGGGTGGGACATGTCCCCAGCCCCCTTACTGCCCCCTCCAGTCGGCAAGTTTGTCCCCCCCCCCCCCACTCCAAGTGCAAGGTCCCTAAGAACTACCAGTAGAAGGTGGTCAACCAGCAATTATATATCAAAGTGAGAAAATGATGTTAAGTTGTTAACATTTCTGAACTTAACCATCACCTGCAGGACCGTCACTAGCGGAGTTAACCGAGTCAGTTGACTCGGTAGGAATTTGGGGACTGAAATTTAAACATCGCCAGAAACCTAAACCATAGCTGAAATAATTTGCTCGTGGAAAAAAGCATGAAATAGCATTTTAGGACGAAATTCTAGTTTAGTTTTTCCAAGCAAAGATACTCCAAAGAGACCACCCTATCTTGCTCTTCAGTGACACTGAGAAGACTGAAGACAAATGTGTCGATGTCAAGTACCCCAATACATGTAATACAGTACTGTAGAATTTGAAGTGTGGTGAATGATAATACTATACCACGCACATTTTCATTACCGCATCATCACATCATGTTGCCTTATTGGGACTGGATTACATTTGGGAGATTGTAAAATTGCAATAATTGTGTCACTGTTTATAAGGTTAATTTCTTGTTGGAACACTCCTCAAAATGCTGGAAATAGCTAATCTGAGATTCAGGAAATCGAAAATTTTCTGGATGGATGCCCCCAGATCCCTCTAGATGGTTCGTACCTTCGGTGCACGTGCTCGATTCAGTTGTCTCAGAATCCTAGTAACGGGCCTGATCTGCTGCTCTATGACGTATACTTATTAGTTACCATGCATATATATATGCTGGTAGCTGCATGCAGTTATACAGACTTGCCAACTGGAACTTCTCCAGGTCCCCCGCCCCCCCCCCCCCAGTTACACATCCTTAAAAGAGGCCCTGCAGACAAAAGTAAGTAATATATGCCTGCCTGACTGTCTAAGTAAATAATATATGCCTGCCTGACTGTCTCTGGTTACCTGGGATAATGTTGTTCCAAACGATCCTCACATAGCTGTCTCTGTCTGGACGTGATTGCTCGTGCCAGAGTCCCATTGCATGACCTACGATAAAATGCAACGCGCAATAGCAAAAATTCACATAAAATTCACATAATCCATACCGCGTCTTTTAAGAATTTTTAAGATGATTGTTTGCTGTGGAGGTGGTCGCGAGATATAATCGATAGTTTTATACTGGATTTTAAATCATTGGACAAGTTGATAAACAAATGGGACATGACATACATGACGTGAAAGATTCGAAATAAATAAGTTTGATAATTTTTGTAGAACTAGATCATGTACCGTAAGGCAGAAAGCATTGCCTTAAAAAAATGACCCACGAACTAACATAGTATAGATATTCGCAAAATATTGCTGATATCTGTACTGCAAATTGCAGTAAAGCCGGCACTATGAGCTTCTCAAAAATGGAATTCTGCCGAGTTCGTTTAGATGATGTTGATCTGTTCTGTAAAAGACAACTGCACTGCACTGTAATGTAGGTACTACATGCATTGTATTATACTGTACCTTTACTATACTTTATCTGACTTATCATCAAAAGTTGCATCCACCTACCAATTTCATGTACTGCAATCCCATGATGCTCACAGCCTCGTCCAATTGAAACTTTTTGTGCTCCTCCCACATGACCAACTTGTGAGTAGCATCTGCAGTAATTGTGTTCAAATATTTATATACATATATATACATAAGGTTAATTAGTTATTCAACCGGAGTTGGTGCAGTGGGCGGCATCTAAGACGGTCAATTGTTGAATTTGGAATTGTACAGTAGTCTAATTTTCCCAACAACTGAACAAACTCCCCTTGAAAATTGCTATACCTCTGACCTCTCTACAAACTCTAGTGGCTCATAATCCCGAGCCAACGGCGCGAAGCCCGGGGCGAGACTACTAATTCTGATCCTGACTCGTTCCCAGTCGCTCGCGTTGGATGATGGGAATGGGTTATGTTTGTTCTGTCAACGCCTAACCCGCGAACGGGCATATTCTTCCGTACTAAAATATAACGAGGGACTGTGGAAGAGTCAGATTCTGCTCGGTTATTTACATGCACTCAGGAAAAGGAAAGCATTAGCGAAGTCTTAAATCCATCAATAATCGCGGGCGCGTGGCTTTGTCGCAGGGTGTACTGATCTTAAAAGTATGACAAATTTCAGGGATTTGCGGAAAAATAGGAAAAAATCATAAGACGAGCAGCCAAACAGTTTATTTGTTATTAATAGCTTCATAACAAAAGATCCGGGACAATAAATTGCAGAACTCTGATAGTTTTAAATATTGATGTACTGTTTGCTTTCAAAAACTGATGTTGCGTATCTTTTAATAAATTACCCGTTTTTATTATTTTGGATTATTAGAAATTGTTTTATTTTACTTTGACTGTTTGACATCAATCATCATTCATCAACGTTTTGCGTAGCGTTTGTGGTTGAATTTTAATTTAATGGAAGCTAGCTTAAATATTAGGCGTGCTGTCTAAGCATAATGTACTACATTATGCAGGATTATGAAGACCGCATTCTGTATGCTGATGAAGTAAATCTTAGTTTTTGAATTTTGTGATGAAATGACATTTGGTCAGAACCAGAAAATTAGATTGCACGTCCTGGCAAAGCCTTAAAGAATCAGAACTTCTTAAACTTTAGCATACTCAAAAGCACTTCTAAAGCTTCGAATATTCAATTTACAATCCGGCTAATTTTTTGCGCGTTATACAAGTAAAAACTAGCAACCTTTCACCATATACAATTTGATTATACCCTCTTACCCTCCTCCAACAAAGAAATGCATATAGGACCTAGGTTTCCTACTATTAGTCACATCTACCCATGATCCTCTGCACGGCAATGTCGTCTCCCACTCTTTTATTGCACTTGCTATGACTCTCCTAGCAGCTCCTAACAAACAGAGACTGAATGTAATCAGTTACACTCTTAAAAACCCCTGGTTAAAAATTTCTTGGTTGATCTAAAATTAACATTGTTTGGGGTAACTTAAAGTTCCTGGTTAATTTTCCTGGTTAATTTAACCACAGTCCTGGTTAATTTGATCGCTATCGTGGCTAATCCGCTAACCAGGATTCCTATTTAACAAGGCTATACGGTTAAGTTAACGTCTGTTAACCAGATTACATAGTTAGGTGACTTGGATAGTTGAATTATTAACCAGGAATTCTTGGTTAAACCTCGCAAGCCAGGCTATCTACTTAAGTAAAGAGCCTGGCTGGCGAGGTTGTTCTTGGTTAATAGTCCACCTAACTGCTGATGCTGATTATCAACATTTTTACAAGCGCGCAGAAAGTTCGCTTTTCTTTCAAAAGGTACTTTTAAATATAATTTCCCCTGCTCTCAAAAAGTACTTTTAAAATTGGTGAACCTCAGGAAAGATGATAATAATAATAACACTTTATTTAACGAGGATTTACAGATAAAGCTACAGTTAGTACATCTTGTTTCCAATCTGGTCCTCTTAAGTTCTAGAAATATATTACATCACGTGATTACGATACTCATGCAGTTAACATTCTTTATAAACGTAGGATATACAGTCACGGATGCGTCACAGACACACAACATACACAGATACATCACAATCACACAACATTAACAATCTATAACTATCAACAGTATTAAAGTTTTTATATTAATATAATCTTTTTGTGTTCAGTTCATTCATCTTAGCCAGTTTGTTCTTAAAGTGTTCTTTACAGAACGATCTAAACCCGCGTGTTGTGGTAAGTTTTTTTCCCACGTCTGGAAATTTGTTCCACAAGGAAAGAGCCAGAAACGAAAACCTGCGTTTCCCTGCGTTGGTCCTGGCTTTGGGGAGAAACAGGTTATTGTTTTCTACTGCCCTTGTAGTGTGGTGGTGTGTCGGCTTTTCTACAAGCGTGCTGAGGCAAGGTGGGCTAATTTTGTGGAAACAGTTGAAGGTTTGTAGAAGGATGCGATAATGGGTCTATCATCGATATTTGGAAAAGTGGTTATTTCCTGTACCTTCTCTTCCATGGCCAGCGCAAGGGAAGAGCCTGAGAACGGGGTTGTGGCCAGCGTACACTTGAAAATATTCACTCACATGCAGATAATTGTGGATGACCATAAAACCAGTAGTTACTTTTAAATTACAGAGCTCTCCCACTGATTAAATGTTAGATATTCTTTACACATGCAGACATACAGTAAGTAATCATCTACAGTCTAAAAGGAGTTCAAAATGCTAGCTTACCTCTTAGGCCTCGATCTAAAACGTAGTTAATATTTCGAGGCCATAAGTTTCGCCTTCTGTCTCTTATAACTGCTCTCTTTCCTCTCCCTGTCCCTTGAGATCCAGTATTGGCAGTTTCATTATTAAGCATGATATCTCCCTCAAACAAAAATACATTGGTATCCGATCTTCCAAGTCCGCTACCTAAAATTATAATGCTCGCTCAAAGTTCTGAATTCTGCAAATCTAACTCCGTGATATAATGCGTGGTGGTGTCATGCATTTTAACTCGTTCCCATTCACCGTGCACTACTTATGTCGACTATTTCAAAACTGTAAACAGGGACTACGGAGCCTGTTTAAACATACTCAAGAACGTGTTGGAAGGTAATCTGATTTTCAACTGATGGAATTCACGTAACTCTGGCTTGGACTAGGACCATAGCCTAAAACCTAATCTCTAAATTTCCTTATTTCCCAAATAACATATTCTCCCGAATGCCAGTGTTATAGTGATATTCAAAATTACGATTAATTTACAGTTGGTCATTCAACCCTCGGTTAAATTACTGCAGTATTGATATCCTTGCATCTGATCGTCTGTAGAAGCATTTTTATTATAAGAGTAAAACTTAGATTTATAGATGTACTGTAAATATTTTCATGCTGTTAAAAACAATACAATATCTATTTTTTTTTTTCTGTGCTGGTGTTGTGTACTCAGGTGAATAATATGTTTGTGGTGTTACTCTGAGTGCATATCCACACCGGGCGAGCTTGAAAAATATGCCCGGCCACGGTGGGATTCGAACCTACGACCTTTGGAATACTAGCTACTTGGGCTAGTATTCCAAAGGTCGTAGGTTCGAATCCCACCGTGGCCGGGCATATTTTTCAAGCTCGCCCGGTGTGGATATGCACTCAGAGTAACACCACAAACATAATACAATATCTGATGGAATTTCATGGAAAACCTAAAAACTGCAAACTAAGAAATGTGTTTTCAAGGCATTTTCATTCTTGTCCCAGTCGGTTCGAGTAGGTTTGGATGAGAAATGATTCTGCAATTGGAACAAACCTCTTTCTCTTGCATTTACCCTCAGTATGGTATCAAACAAACCAAGACCAGGTTCATCTGTTCTTGACATTCCACTTTCGTTCATAACTTTAAATACTTCTTCCCAGTTTGTGGTGTCATTTGGTGGCTGCGTTATATCACTAACATTTTCAGCAGCTGTAGTTAGATAAAGAGTCGGTTATATAGTGCTAAATATTTTTAATTTATTAATTAATTAATTAAAATGCAATGAAAGGCACCAGAACTGGAGTAAATGAGGTCTTTGCTCCAGGAAGAATACAGCAAGGCAAAGGAGTCCGTTTTGATTTTAGAAACATTTTCTAAAAAATTGTGTATTTAATCGAAAACTACCAATTTTGCCATACAACTAAATAAATCGCAAAGTCTTCTAGTGCATGTTGAACCTGTTCCGAGACATTACGGAACAGGGACCACGGAAATTGGGGTCACCTCCCCTTCCTCCAAATAATTTGCACGAAATGGGCGTGTAGAGTCGTAAAGTACCGATACTAAGATTGCATTCTAGTTATATTGAAGGCGATCTGTAGACACCAACTGTATGATAACAACGTTCAAACATTCCAGAAAAAGATATTGTGAATCAAAATCAGTGCCCTTATGTTTCATAAATTGCGTTATGCTAATTATTCATTTCTAAACTAGAAGTTACTATGGCAAGGAAAGTGCTGCCTCACCCCCAAGGGTCAAAAGCAAGGGAGCATACGCAATTTGCTGAATAAAGGCTGTTTATACGGATCCCGCTTAAACCGCGTTGCCATGACGAGATATAAGGCGCGATGATTTTGTGAAACACTTTATTTTCTAGAGATGGATTATAGTTAACTGTAAACGAAAGGTTGTTCAAAAAGCTATAAAAATCTTCTCGAACTACATGATCTTCTCTACAACATTTGAGTTCGGTTAGCAAGTATTTGAACTTTCGTTTCGCTTAGTGACTAATTTCAATACATAAAAATCATCCCAACTTCCATCATATAAACAGCCCAGACTATGCCCGTTCACAGGTTAGGTGCTGGGCATGACCTAACATGCGAACGGGCATACTCTGGGCGCAAGATTGCTAATACACCTGTTCAGGATGCAGGAAAAGACCGAAAAGTGCAATTTGAATATCAAACACCTTGCACAAAGTCAAAGGTCAGTTAAATATTCTAATTCTACTTTCTCGGCACGGGGGGCTTTATATGAATCCTTCAATGCTTATAACTTCTTGCTTTTGTATGTATAATTATACTGTTAATGGTGAAGCTAGCCATTATTAAACTAAACTTTACATGTCCAATGATTCATTCAAGCATTAAAGGGTATGAGGAACAAAAAATTTTATCGCTTTTATTGCTTCATTTAAAAGAGCATGAAAAAATAAGCCGATTGGCCGTTTAATGCTCTATTCTATCTCATCTAGTTCCGAAGTTATATGCAAAAATGTGCAAAATATAAATTGCTGATTCAGCACAAAGTGTGACGTCATTAGCTGGGTAAGTATGTTTATTGAATACTACACTGAAGCATAGCTCAGTTATTATGGGCCCAAATCAAATGAAATTTTGGATAATGATTGTACATGATGAGACGCATGGAAAAACACTTCTAATTTTGTTGCCAAGGTAACAATGTCGTTCCCAGGCCCCTTGCGCCAATTTTATAAAACAGCTTTATTCATGGTACTGATAAAAATAAAATAATATCAGAAGTATGTGTACCATACCTATGCATGCCAAAAGTTTACTTGCATAATAATAATTCGAAAATGACATACACATAGATAAATGCAACTAGTTATTCAAAATCAGTGTAAGGGACCTGGGAACGACTGTGTTGCCTTGGCAACAAAATTAGAAGTATTTTCCCATGCGTCTCATCATGTACTATCTGTATGCAATTCTAAATTAGTTCCGAGTATGTATACAACATTTCGCAACGAAACTTCGGAATATTACTAATTTTTGTGATGCTCTTTCAAGCTGTGATGAAATTTTTGTCCAGATTTGTCTAGATCAAAATTTCACTCAAAAGGGGAAAGGTCTCAATTAGCATAACGCAATTTATGAAACATAAGGGCATTGATTTCGATCCACGATTTCTTTTTCTGGAATGTTTGAACGTTGTTATCATACAGTTGGTGTCTACAGATCGCCTTCAATATAACTAGAATGCAATCTTAGTATTGGTACTTTACGACTCGATTTCGTGCAAATTATTGGGGGGGGGGGGGAGGAGATGACTTCATCCCCAATTTCCGTGGTCCCTGTTCCGTAATGTCTCGGAACAGGTTCAACATGCACTAGAAGACTTTACGATTTATTTAGTTGTAGGGCAAAATTGGTAGTTTTCGATTAAATACGCAATTTTTTAGAAAATGTTTCTCGAGTCCATATTCACTAGCGAATATGGCCCCTATGGGGGTTTTTACTCGCTAGCGGATTTGAAGTCCCCTCGCAAATTTGGACTCCTCGCGTATTATATCATTTATCGTATTGTATTTTGAATATTGTATCAAACATTTTAAATCGTCTTAAATCGTCATAAATTATTATAAATCTCATCTGATTTATTTTAGATTAAAAAAATTCCATCAAAGCTTAGATGATTAGATTCTTGGAAATTGGAATGTGCGAGGAGCGCAAGTATTTTACTCCTTGAAATTGCTATCTGCTTTAACGCTTAACTGCATGCTCAAATAAAAACGGTAAGATATTTCAAATTATTTTTTCCTTTACATACACATAACAAAGTGATGCATTCCATTCAACCCCAAATTAACCCTAAATTTTTAGAAAATTAGCATGTCAATAACTTAGATAGTTGAGTCATGCCATTAGTTATCATAATTTCAATTAATTTCATCATAGATAGTCCCCACAACTCGTAGAATTAAAAATTTCTTCTTTCTGTGAATTTTAGGGTGTCCAATCCTGCGGAAGGGGGTACACTTGTATCAGCTAGCGGAGGGTCCATGTTCTCGGGGAGTCCAAATCCGCTGTGACACCGGACACGTTTCGACAATGAGGTGGCGAGATTTTTCAGTTTTTGAAAGTTAATAAAACAGCCAATGAAAGGAAATTTTAAAGGATATATAGACCAAATAACTCAAAATTTTATAGCGCTTCTAAATATTTGGAAAACTTAAACCAAGATCCAAGTTATCGGTCAGTGAAAATCGAAATATCGCGCGGTGTTGTTGAATCGCGTCCGGTGTGTCTCGGCCTTTACACATGCACTTGAAATTCCACTCTCCGATTCATTTCAATCCGCGCGATAGCGCATGCAAGGCAAGTGCCTCAACCACTCACTACCGAGAAATTACTTGAAATCAACTGAAATCTATTTAGTATCATGTTAAGGAAAACACTTTTGTCGGATTTTAAAGTTCCAGTGTCGGAACAATAATAACCACGGCGTATAAAAACAATCTGCACCCTTACACATTCTGAATGCATTTTACACTTTCAGAAGTAGGTGCAGTGAACAACGCGTTGTACGATGACGCACCTTGCTGAGTAGAAAAGTGAGAGTATGGCTGTAGTGGGCAAGCGTACTTCTTAAACTTGTAATAATTTGCTGTTTTACACGCCCATTGTGGAAACCAGCTTTAGCTGACAATGTTAAACGTTTAAATAAAGTTTATCATCAACCCCAAGCAATACACATGGTCACATAAACAGAATTATTCAGAGAAATGGCCGGCGAGTACTATGATTGATTAGAAGACAAAGTATACAGCAGAAAACAATCTGAATTTAATAAGACACAATTGAGAGAAATTAAATTAAACTCGAGTGATCACCTTGTATTTATATGCCACACGAATGTAAAATGAACTGAATGTTTAGTATCGGGTATATCAAATGGTTACTTACCTGAGGTGGGTAGAGCCAGTATTAAGAATACCAGACCTGTAATTGTCCAGAGCATTTTTCAGACCTCGAGGTAAGGAATTTAGAATTTTGAGTCTTGAGCTTTTAAATACGGTGTTCACTTGCTGACGTTTTGACAAGAAGTGACAGCGACAAAAATGATATCGGAGCTTCATAGTATAAAGACAATGCATATTTTTGAATATGATTGGCTACATTATCATAATCAACGGAAATCGCAATCAAGTATTCTGACAGCTGTCACCTATGAACGCACCTGGTTGTGAAACCGCTAGACGGATGTGCGTTAATGCGCGCATGAACTGTCTATCGTTAATAATTTATTGATCGAGTAGAGCAGAATTCAATTTAAAATAGCTATAAAATTACCGTTTATGCAGTTATACGCAAGACATAACCCTTGTTGAACACACTATGAATTCAGCAAGTGTTTGCCAGTGGGTGCAGGCATGGGCTTTCTTCGGATACTAGGTGTTTTATGCATGTAATTAAGGTTTCCTTTAATTGCGTCATAACATTTCTTTAGTTACTTGCCGCGCTATGGCCATATCCTGCTGCGCAGTCTTGACTTTAGTTCGAAGTCCAAACGCGTAATATGAAGAATTTCGGTTAAATATTCAGTTGGGCATTGCCCATCGCGTATCGCGTTTTACTAAAACAGAAATTATTTAGCAAAAACAGTGTTTGAGCGAAAACTGGAAAGTTAGAGCATTTTTCGACATTTTTCCCACGAGTTTTACGCACGACTTTTTACCCATGACGCACGACCTTTTACCCAGGCCGGAATTTAATTGCGTCATATCCACTGATCTAGAAATGGCCCACTGTATCGTTCTTTCGTTGCCTGCCACCTGGCCAACCTACTGTGCTCTTCAATTTAGTTCGAACGTAGCCTGCGTGTTTTTCAACCTAGTGTTTTTATCACTTATCTTTTCAATGCAAGGATTAGCCATGAAGATTGAAATAAATCTGCAACATATATAACTATAGGACCTATTTTAATAAATCTATTGTCACAGAGCAATTAATGTATCAATGATTTGGATTCTTGCACTTCACTTGGTGGAATTAATATTAGAATTAGAATGTTAGGGTTTGTAATCTAAGTGAGTATATATACATTTTAAGATCTAACCAGGAACGACTGCGAAAAATGCAGCACAAGGTCCTCTGGTAGGAATTGAACCTACGGCCCTGCGATTCCGGTGTCCCAGGATTTTCGCCCCCCCCCCTACATTTTCGCCCCCCGGGGGCGAAATTCGTAGGAATATCGCCCCCCTGGGGGGGGCGAAAATCCTAGGAATTTCGCCCTCCTTTAGGAAATTCGCCCCCCTTTAGAAACTTCGCCTTTTCTTTAGGATTTTCGTCTTCCGTTCAAAATTTCGCCCTCCTAACAGTTGCATGGAATAATTATTACATGGCTTTAATCATTTGAAATCAGTATCAATTCAAAATTGTTAAGACAGAGCTTGAAATAACAACCGATCACCGATCAATGATCGGCAAGGAATTGTTTATGATCGGCGGAAAAGCAGGGTTTCGGTTTCCAACCTGAAAAAAGCAGGGAAAGTCACGACTGCCGATCACCATGTCGGGAACTTTGGGAACGTTATTTCAAGCCCTGCATGTAAGAATACAAATTTACAATTACATGTATCGAAAGGGCTTTACACAGTTACAGTAGATCAATACTAAATAGGACTTACGACGCTTCACAGCACACCATGCATATTTTGCATTTTCAGTGTTAATCCTTAAACTCATTGTTAAAAAGTAATCACCGTGGTGGTTATTGTAATTATTGGTATTGTTTTGCATCCACGTTTTGTCGTTATCGGAAAATGTATGGTTTAGAAGTTGTCACTATTTTTTACTTGCATTATTTCAATATAGTTTGTAAATCTCAGAAGCGAAGGGTAGAACTTGCCAATAGGCAATAATCCAATAATATACGTTTCAAAAAAGACAAAAAAGCTTTTAGTTTTTATTTTGCAGAGTTACATTCTCAAATGTTTAAGGCACTAATAAAATCAAAGTATCATGAAATTATTTGAATAAACCACACCACATATATAATGCCATTTTCTTTGCGGAAGTCAAGAATCAAGATTACATCACTGACACGGAAAGTTGACGATTTAACGGACAATAGTCAATATGCTTCCCAACACATTCCATAGATTTTTATTAATCCTATAGTTTATTGTTAGCAAGTGATTACTGTGGCGGCTATTGTTAACACTGGTATTGATAAAATTTGCAAGCGATTGTTTTTATAATATGTATGTAAACTGCCAGAAGAATACGACAACATGATTTTATGCGATCTCTGTGATGGTTCCACTTTAGATGTGTAGAATATGACACTAGTCTAAGTATCTCAAATGAGTGGTTATGCAGACTGTGCACACCACCAGCTGCTAAGAAGCCTAAAATGTGTATGTAATTTTGTCTCCTTGTAATAAATAAATAAATCACACAAGTAATCACACAATAAATCACACAAGTTGAAAACACTTGCAATCGTTTTGTTTTTAGATCAAAAATTCAAAATTTATATGGGGGGGGGGGCGAAATTCCTAAAGGGGGGCGATATTCCTATGAGATTCGCCCCGGGGGGCGAATATCCTAGGAATATCGCCCCCTTTTGAGAGGGGGGCGAATCTCCTGTGGGGGCGAATCTCCTGTGACACCGGTGCACGCAGGGCAGTAGGTTCAATTCCTACCAGAGGACCTTGTGCTGTATTTTTCGCAGTCGTTCCTGGTTAGGTCTTAAAATGTATATATACTCATGATCACTTGGATTACAAACCCTAACATTCTACAATTAATGTATCGCATATAAGCACCATGCAATTCGGCTTAGGGTTCAGATTATAGTAACAGAACGTCGAGTTTTACAGAGGACCACCTGGACGCATTGGCTTTTATTCCAGATAGTATAAAATTAAAGGTTTATTAATATTATGAATCCTACGGGTTCAATAATAATGCAGCCGTGTGTAACATTGCAAATACAATTTCAAACTCATTAATAATTCATGAGTAAATTAGATCCTAGGACTGGATCAAAATTAATTCAGTCCTTGGACTGGATCCAAACTAATTAAGTAGTGATTTATTCGTGATGTCATTTCAAATCCTCCAATTCGGGCTGGACTAGATTTCAAGTCCTCGCATTTTGATCCAGTCCTCTGCTTCACCTTGGACTTGATCAAACTGCAGGGCCGTAGCAACCGGGGGGCTGGGGGGGCTGCAGCCCCCCTCAATAATTTGCTAATAATCATTCTTTTTTCAAAATCATGCAAACTTTATCATTTAATCTGTGACAAACTGCAAAGAATGAAGATATTACTCATACTCCAGATCGTTCCTCGCGTAGAAATTTTAGCTGAATTTCTGTCGCGCATTTTCAAGAAAATCCCACAAAATCTGCACATTTTTGATGAACTAATGATTTATTTTGTCTTTTGCGTGTTGGGTCTTGCGAAAGAAAACTCTGAAAATGCCATTTCAGACCATCTAGAGACTCCAGATTTTCGAAATTTTCTCAAATGTTCTGCCTTCATTTCCGCGCAACTGCCATTTACGACGAAAATTCCTGCCGCGCATTTATAATACTACAGTCTGGCCCATACTTTCCTGTAAATTTCGACATACTAAAACGCTGTTTTCTGACTATCAGAATTCTGTTAAATCTTCCCCCAAAGTCCAGGAAATGGCATTTTAGAGACTCTAAATTTAAAAATTTCCTCGGGCCTTCGGCCCTCGCTTTCAGCCTCCCCAATCGAAAAGAGCTTCCTATGGCCCTGAACTGCGCGGACTTGAAATCTAGTCCAGTCCTCATAGTCGGATTTGAATTATTACATATCATAATATGAAGAATTTCCGGTAAAATATTCAGTTGAGCATTAATTGGCGATCGCTCACACGCGTTTTGGTGAAACATAAATTATTCACAAAGGCAATCTTTTAGCTAGCAAAAAGCCCCTGCAAATTTACACTAAATCACAGAACATCGAGTTTCAACAGCTAGAGGAACGCCTGCATGGACACAATGACATTGGCTATTATTTCAGATATAAGGCTTATCCTAAACGGCTAAACATCCTTCAAACCCTACGCGGGTTCAATAATAATGCTACCGCTGCAAATGCAATACCATAATATGAAGAATTTCGGAATGAAGAATCATGAACGATCAACGACCATGCACTGGTATCATGAACGAACCTACGCCTACCTAATCTCAAGCGGATTGAATCACCCCAAATCAACCCAGAAAAGTCAATTACATATTGTAGTAGTGGTAAGCAACCTTATTTCTCAATTTAATACAATATTTCAGCATTTTTTGACAATATATACTCTGTCATAGTAAGCTAATACAAAAATATATCCCAACCACATGTGAGCTTGGGATGATGCCTAGTGGGACTGCACGACCGCGTTCCTTTTGCGCCATCATTGTGTGAGAAGGTTACTGTGTCTTTTCCATTCGAATTAATTACCTGCATTAATGTATGTATTGCGCTATACCATTGCGCCATGATGTTCTTTGGTGATTGGTAGGTATATATTGGGCAAAATTTTAAATTTAAGAAAAATATCAAAAAATTCAAATTGAACCGAATTGATTCAAAAACAGCTCGAACATTTCTTTGCGTATTTGTCCTGTTGTCTCTTGTAGGTTAGCTTCAGAACTTCGTTTTTGGTCTATTCTTTCTGCTTTCTGATAAATTTTGGATTTAAAAACTCTATAATTTTGTTCACAGGAAAAAAAGCCTGCATGAAAAGCCAAGACAGTGCACGCATAAGCTCATATATTATATCAATTAATTGCTTGTTCAATCCACTTATACCAGTAAAGTAATTATAGAACAATTAATTGCTTGTTCAATCCACTTATACCAGTAAAGTAATTATAGAATAGTGTCAAATTTTAATTACTTGCAAGAATATACGTTTGAGATGAGTAATCTCTTGGCGTGCTCTGTTAAATACTGCATATCAGTTTCGTCGTTTTCCACGCAGTTCAGTGCCTGCGGAGGAGGCTATCCCGCGATATAGCTGGCACTTGGCATTGTTCTATATTCCTATATTCACAAAACGTAAACGTGTATTTCAATCCTTAAAGATTCGTTATTAATCTAAAGAGAATTCTCAGTCAGAACAGTCTTATAAATAGTTTGCAAACGCAAAGATTGAAAATACAATCAAATCATAGGATATCTCAATCTGTTGAAACGTTAGTTGCTTTCAAGTAAGATTTCAATATTGGAACTTTGCCACCTCCGTGCAATTATAATACTAAATAATTAAATTTATTTTTCCTTGCATCACTCATTTCCTGCTTGCATGCAGAAGTTGAAAACTGCTGCACCTTGCTATCATCTACTACTACTTCAAGTCTTCAACTACTGCTACTACTTCAACTACTGCTACTACTACAGCTACTACTACTGCTAGTTAAAGAATGAATAACACAAGCCTAAATAATTCGAATGCCACTTTCAATGGAGATAATTCATCGGAGACGAACGAATGTTTTTTGTCAATTCTTTACTTCAGCAGAAATAACGGCACTCAAGGTGTGCTATAGTTTTCTTGGATCAGTTGGTTTGATCGAGAACATCGGTGTTATCCTAGTTCTCTTGTCCAAGAGAGTAATGCTTGACGTGCCTTCCAATTGGTTTGTTTTAAGTCTGGCTGTCGCTGATGCAGTTACATGTCTTGCAGTAATTTTTCTAGTTTTTATCATCGATGTTAAAATTGGCACTACCTTGATTGCTATCTTTGCTACTATTGTTCAATTTGCTATGTTTTCCAGCACTGGTAATCTTTCACTTTTGACATTCAATAGATTTCTCTCCGTGTACAGTTCATTGAGATATACTGCTTTTATGACAATCAACAGAGCGAAGCGTCTGGTTTGCGTACCTTGGATCTCTGTAGGATTGATAACTGTGTTTTTAGGATACTCTTTCCAGGAAGGAATTGAGAATGCAAGCTACATAGGTAACGCATATTACACAGTATTAATCATAGTGATAAGTGCTCTCAACGTGTACATGTTTAAGCAAGCCAGTGACAAGCGTAAAGTCGATGCACAAAATGCAGTTCCAAGCTTTAAAAGGAAATTACTCAAGAGAGAATATCGTTTGTTCATACGTTTACTGATCGTGAACTTGACATTTTTTGGATCTTGTATTCCAGTGATGATTATGTTATATCTCTACCCAACCAAAGAATCCCGACAGACGTCCTCATTTCGATATAAAATCACTTGGTTTTATTTAGTCTCGGTACTCAATGCTGCTATTGATCCTCTCGTTTATTCTATAAACCATCCGATATTTAAAAGATATTTTAACAAATTTCAGAATATGCTTTACTCCAAAACTTCCGCTGTTCCTTATGTCTTTGAACAAGTATAATAATGGATTGCTGACTAAAATTACTGTACGACATGCTCCTATAATCGCTTCAGTTAATCTCTAAAGGTATTGCTAGCTTCTTAAATCAAATAAAAAGACTGTATCACTGTACTGTTTATAAAGTCTTGCCCCAATGCCAATGACCTCGTTTTAATGTGGTTGTTTCTCATGTTTCGTATACACAGGGCGCTTTCCATTTACTGATCTGACCGCTCAGACCCGAATTCTTTTCTCTGTTTCAATGGAAAGATCTGGTCTATGTTTCTCAAATATCTAGCGAAAATGGACCTCATTCTAATGTTATCAAAATTTTCCAGTCAGATAGGTCCGAAGCCCAAATGTTTTGTGTTTCATTCAACAATTTGACCGTTCTGACCGGTTTGGCCGTGTTAAATGAAAGCGCCCACAGTAGAATTAAGGATAGGCTTGTGATTGGGTTTGAAGATCATAGAGAAACATTAATTCAAAGAGATATTGATGTTTTAATTAATGGTAATTAAAAAGTAGCATAAAACGGCATATCCAATACGATTTGGTTAAAATTTATAGTTCTATTGTAGTAAAAAACCCGCATAAAGGCCTAGGGTTCGGTCCAGCCGTTCTCACGAGAGACCTACCGGATCAGAGCCTAATAAAGGCCATCTACACGATACAACTGGTCGTATACGATTCCTATCCTGGCATATGCACTCGAATGACTTATGAACAGGAATAGTGCATGGCGTCAGCCGTCGTTCAGCATACTGGCGAATGATGTAAATGGGTCTTAAGATATACCCAAATATTGTGAGCGTTGCAGCTGTTGCAAATATACCGATCCTCATGAAAAAATGTATAATCTTGGAAACTATAGATGATATTTTTAGCAGTTGTCCAAACTGAGAGATGAAGTAATTTAAAATCGTATGAATCGTTTATTTCTATAGAATTAATAAAATAAATGAGGTTATATAATCATGACATGATATATCCCAGAGTCAATCTTCGTTAGTCAGTTCACTTCAAAAACACAGTATAAAAGTTGAAAATCGCTCGGAATTTATTAACTTTTCCCAACATTTCTACATGAAAACCGACTTCAATATTTCACCACTCCGAATGAAGCGAATAAATCATAGTCTATAAATAAATACACCTATAATTCCAATTTGAATACAATAGCGACAATAGTTACAACTATACTCCCACATAACTGTAAAGCCCCTTCCAGACGAGCAGGTTTTCCTTCACAACTTTTACTTGTTCATGTTCACGGCAAAAAATAGACAATTTTTCCTGAACATGGAGCCTTGTTCAAAAGCTGGTCATACCAGTTTTTCAACAAGGAAAATTATTCGTGTGTAGTACGGCCATCAACGAAAACTTGGCAAGTATTTGCATGCGCGGTAGGTCAATGCGCATGCACTCATTATTTTGGAATGTACTTTGAAGTGTGGTATCGCAGACAGTTTCAACTGTTTTTAATTTTGTTGGAAGCAGCTTTGAAGAAGAGGTCAAATAGCGCGGGCTCGTACAACTTGCCAAGGGAAAATTTATCGAAAAAAACTTGTTCGTCTGCACGGGATAAATTTTTGCGTACATTATTGCCAAAACACACAAACGTTTGTTTACTATCGTGTCAAACCATGCATGGACAATAGATCACTGCACGCACTTCTGATCCAATATACGAATTACGCTCTAATTTTTTCCACAATGCGAAACTCGTTTTTACAACAAAAGTTTAACATGTTTGTTACCTGGTGGAGACAGATTTTCAGAAATTTGCTGACTTCACGCAATTTTTAATACAGAAGACGTCTGGAATGCACAGTGCATTTCTGGTCCTTTTGCCAGTTTTGGCTCAATAATTCATTGTTTGAAAATTACGCGACGTAAGCACTTCTGAGGTCTATTGTCGGACAGAAATATCACAGGTAAACTACGTCAGCGTTCCTCTTTTGATGTTCCTAACTTGATTGCAATTTTCTGCATTTCCTTTGCAAATACGAAAAATCCTCAATTCCTGTTAGAAGTTCTTACCAGAACAGGAAGTCAGGAAATTAAAAGAGGAAGTTATAGGAAAAGTTCCTCTGCATTGGAATACCGCAACAGCCGATAGGAATATTGCAAATTCCCTCAAGGGATTTGCACGGGAGTTTTTCAAATTTGCAAAGGTAATGATGAAAATTGCAAACAAGTTAGGAACTCAAAAGAGGAACGCTTGACGTAGTTTACCTGTAAAAAAGAAAAGAAGTGATTTAATCACATGCAATGGCATATTTATGTTCAAATCCAGCATTAAATTATATTGGGACGCCATTAGCAGTAACCTATTATCTCGTTGGATTCATAAATAATTTGTGTAATTGCAAGAGCGGCGATGGACATGTTCCTACGTCTTAGTAGCTTGCAACGCAGGCGTTTTGGCTAACGTCTTGCCAGCTTCATGCAGTGTTTATTTATTCCCGTTCTTTATGCATTTAGTAACATCCTTCCTTCCAGCTGTCATCTAAATTACCATCGTTAGGGTTTGGTGATGGTGCTTTCCGCCTGTAAGAGAAAAACAAAGTGTTTTTGTGGAAATTTCAAGCTGTCCTGGTTGTAAAATAGTGTCAAAGATGGAGTCTGTGCATGTCCTATGTGAGGACCCTCTGGTGTAAACAACATCTTCTAAATTGAAACTCTAATCTATATTAATTTAAAAGCACATTCTATATTAATTTAAAATCTATATTCATTTAAAAGCAAACCAGAACGATGTTAAATATTAACTAAGTGCATGATATCTTGTGAATATAGTGTCTTCAAAATGTACCGCCTGTTTAAGCTTAGTCACAAAGTTGATCAATTATCTTTGAAATCATTCAAGCCTCTTCGAAATTAATGAGGCCGTAGTTCCCCCCTCGTCCAATCCCACATGCAGTGTTCACAAAGACGGTCATATAGAGTAGGTTTCTAATCAATCAATACGTGATATTCACACAACAACACAACGAAAACATATTCACCTTGCAACCACACCCTTGGGCGAATTTAAAGACGGTGTGGTGAGTTTCGAGCGTCGAGCAACAACATTTCCTTGTGGTTGTTGAAGGTTTTGGGCCTTGCTTTTTCCTTTAAGTTGTGTTCTGTTGCCGATTCCTTCATCTGATTTAGCAGCACGAGACCTTACGCCTACTGTATCCGTTGGAACTTGGGGTAAACTTCTCCGTTGAATCGCTGAAAATAGTGGGAACGGAAGAGACATGAAATGATTGTAACATGAGGGGCAGACATATCAGTTCTTAAGCAGAACCACCTGTTTCCCTCTTTAAAGTTTTAATAATAATAACATCAAATAACTATGAGAATATTGGGGCGGGTTGTACGAAGACCAGTTTTGTGTTTACAAAATGGATGATCTTTTTGAGCGCATTCCGCAAACTAGGAAATATTGTTGCAGCAACAAAAATTACAAGATTTGTTGGAAAACATTATGGTTTTCAAGGAAACAATTTGTTTCTTTACAGTGGCCCGATTAATACTGCAGTCGAACCCCTATTAAGCTGACATCATCCAAATGTGTTCGCTTTTTCAAGCTTTTTTAAACTTTCCGTTGATTGGTATGAGCCAGAATGAACTATAGTATTCACAAATTAGTGTATCGTTTTATTGATGGTGAGGTCCATATTTAAGAATTTTTTCATGATTTGGTGTGCTCAATCGAGTTACTGAGCACGCGGGAAGTTGGAAGATCATGAAAAAGCGTAAGAGTCGGTTAAGGCGCTAGCCCATTCTTGTACCCAGAGTCCTTCTTACGCGCGGTAAACGGAGCGCGACGAGGGGCTCTGGCCAAATCCATATCAAACTGGCATCTGATTGGCCACAACGAAGGTTATTGTTCTAATACCGGATATTTAACAGTTATTACTCGAGTCGAATATGAGCTGATAGCCGATGAGGCGGGTAGCGCCGAATCGGCTATCGCTCATATTCGACGAGAGTGAGTGGAATAACTGTTTTATTATATACACAAGGTCTGAATTCAGATATTTGAAATCTGAATTCGGATATTTTCAATATTTTTCTATTTTGTTTATGTTTTTATCTTCGCTCTTTCGGCCGATTATTTTTTCAAAAATATATATTTTTAACAATTTTAAATTTTAAAAATTTATTTGCTAACCTGAAAACAAATTGTGGGAGTTTTTTCATTGTGTTTTTAATCCTGTGAAGGCTATAAAAAGCGACAACTTGCCGTTTTCTCGTTTGCAAAACATCGTAAATTCAGTTTGGCCGCCATTTTGTTTTTCTCTACTAGCAGGATATGAGCTAATATCCTGCTGGTAGAGAACCAATCAGATTGCAGGACACCTCATATCCAGACCTTGTGTATATAATAAATATATATATATATATATATTTGAAGCTTTTTTTGAAGCTTCTCCGTTTGTTTAGTAACGCCAGACAGGCTTTACAAATGCTATTTGCAGGTAAAATGGAGAAGGAAAGGTTGTCTAACTCCGTACGTATGTTCTCCTTGCTGTCCAAGAAATTAATATCGCTTTTATTCGATGGGACTTTGAAGCAAAGAACACATTTGTATTACGCAAAGCCAACAATGGTCCATGAAACATTTTAATATAAGGCGCTCGCACGTTATAAATTTGAATAACTTGAAGTTAATTTACTCAAAACGTAAAACTAACATGACGTAGACCGGGCAACCTTTTCTTCGTTTATTCGTAGACCCCTCATGAAACGAATTTCTGCTGGGGTCTACACCGTAGGCTATGTTAATCCCTAATTGTAGGAGCAACAACGTATGATTACTTAATTGTTTAATTATTAGCATGACAAAATTGGATACTTGGCAATGTTAACATCGTATTCTCTCGCCAAAGCCCAGTGCTGCCATACTTTCAACCAAAATTTGGTGCTTTTGTTCGTATTTTAATTTAGTTCTTTCGTTAAAGCAAAGTTTGGTGCTTTTGTTCGTATTTTAATTTAGTTCTTTCGTTAAAGCAAAATTTGGTGCTTTTGTTCGTGTTTTAATTTAGTTCTTTCGTTAAAGCAAAATTTGGTGCTTTTGTTTGTATTTTAATTTAGTTCTTTCGTTAAAGCAAAATTTGGTGCTCTTGTTCGTATTTTAATTTAGTTCTTTCGTTAAAGCAACATTTGGTGCTTTTGTTCGTATTTTAATTTAGTTCTTCATTAAAGCAAAATTTGGTGTTTTTGTTTGTATTTTAATTTAGTTCTTTCGTTAAAGCAAAATTTGGTGCTTTTGTTCGTATTTTAGTTCTTTCGTTAAAGCAAAATTTGGTGCTTTTGTTCGTATTTTCATCCAGTCCTTCTAGCGCAATTTCATTTCACATTCGTGTTTAAAATACGTTTCCGCTATTTTGTTTGTTTTGGGAAAATCATTAATTGTACTGCAGTACAATTAATGATGGTAATAGAACAAATAGGAGTGCTATTAATGCCATAATCATACGAGTGATTACAAAATCAACCGACCGCGTAGCGGGAGGTTGATTTGTTAATCACGAGTATGATTATGGCATTAATAGTACGACTTTAATTCGTTCTATTACTTATTAATTATTTATCTTCTGTAATCAAACTGTTTAAGGGGGGAAAGCAGAAAAATACAATTTGTTGAATTTCAATAGAATTATTAAATTTTTGTCACGACAATTCTTAGTGAAATCGTACAATTTTGAATTATTGTTTATCATATATAATCAAATTAACATATTATTAACTTCCGGGCATTATTTCCGGTATAATCACATGACAACATTTGTTTGAATTATTCAACACACAATTGGGAAGCCATGCTTGTATGTTTATAATGTGTTTAAAATAGTGAAGTTCTTTAGTCCAATTAATCATCTGAATTGGATTGAATATAACTCCTGGTTGTGTTTAGTTTGGTGTCTTCTGCTGGATGAACAGGTAGGTCATTTTCGTCAAAAAATATATAATTTAACAATCCTCGAAAACGAGATCTGCATTCGGCAATGCCGACCTACAGTATTAAAATGCCGACCTATCAACCTCCCATGTCGGCAATGTTTTGCCGACCTTAATTCAGCCAAAGTAATAATCTTTTTTGGTGCTTATAGCTGTTAAAAAGTCAGCGATTATAGAATTCGATGCACTTTGGTGTAAGGTTTAAGAATTAACGGGTATATTTATGATATAATTTAGGAGTTTAGGAGTTTCATTCCGAGATCCATGTAGAGTTTCAAGTTACGGGCATGTAGGACGTAGTTCTTCCTGGGACCTAGTGAGTTCACCAGTTTTCTTACTCCTCCAATCGTAAGCTGGAATTTCTCAGCAATACTCTTTGCGTAATCTGACAACATTGACGCATCGATCTCCTTACTCTCCGGGGCTAGAGGATAACCGTTATGTAAATCGTGAAGTTCTTCTGGATATTCCATGTCAACCTCAAGGACCATACTCCTTTCGCCACCTTCAAGGTAATCATCTAGGTTTATTTTATCAACTTCCTCAACCCACTCAAATTCACCGTTAGGTAGAGGTTGAGACATTGCCCAGCAATATAAATTGTTGGCGTCGAGGTACATAAGGAACTTATTTTCAGATGTCTCGTCGTACGTTTCCATATACTTATTATTTGCTGTAGAGTGTCTGTGGGCAATGTGACTTATCCCACCTCTCATTCCCTTCTCAAAGAACTGGAACATATCCATATCACTTACCAATTCTATTTCCTCACCTGACTGTTTTAGGAATGCGTCCCAACTTAAGCTTGGTGCTGAGATGTAGTGAGCAGGGTCAAGCTTATAGTTTTCCAGGCAGGTCTTTCTAAAGTTCTCGAAAACATCTGCTAGAAGAAGAACGTCGGTTTCCAAGTAGAGATCATGGTAGTCTCTCATTGTCTTCATCTTGAAGTGATTCCAAACTTTTAGAGCTCTTTGGTAATCTTCTTCTTTCACTTCAGACTCATATAGGGATGAGTAGAATTTGTCTCTACTTGGGAGTTCTTTTGTGTCAAGTTTGCTGATGTCATCCAGGTATTCATATGGAAATATACCTTTTTGTCTCACAAGATTGAAGTCCTCACCTTGCCACCGCTGACCGACTATCTTGAAGTCTTCAGGTGAAAGGTTACTTACAAGTGCCTCCAGGGAAGAAGCCATGAATTGTATTGAGTCAATGAACACAAGACTTTTACCTATTGAGAAGGAAATGTATTTCTCCATGTTATTTGGGACCACGTTGATGTTCATCTTAAACTTACCGATTTCCTGCATTATTAGATGGCTATCATAACCTCTTAGGTTGTGGAAGACCACTGGAACTTTCCATGTGATTCTATATTTTAGGTTGCACATATTATGGGCAGCTCCACGGTACAGTCCAGTTACGTGGTCGTGGTCTCTCACTCTGTCATCACCTAAGTCGTTGCCACATATGGAGCAGTTCCTTGTCATCCAGAACTCAGCTTCTTGCTCTGGTGTGATTTCCATCTTTTTCTTGAATATTTTATTTACCATCTCCCGGCACTTAATGGACTCCTTCAGAACTGTCTTCAGAAAGACTTCTGTAGCGTCTTCACCAACATAGCTCACATACTCACCGGAGTACTGATCATCATAGTGGCACACTGTTTTAAGCCCAAAACTACAAGCCTTGTGGGTCTGGTAGAGTTCCGTAGTACTTTTGTCCTCAGTGTCTCCAGAGTCAACTTTTCTCTCCTCAGGAACTAACATAGACTCAAAGTCGGCATATATAACAAATGGAGCGGGCATTGAGTTCCTATGGTTTTTGAACTTTATTTTTGTACCCTCACTTGGAAGCTTTGTGGCCTGGGTTCCGTTTACCTCAATGCATGTTTCACGATGTTTTTCCAGTGACTCCTCACTAACGCAACTGTGAAGGCAGTGTAGGCAGAAGTGTTTCTTGTTTGAGTTTCCGCTAACACTGAAGAGCATTCTGTTTACATCCTTTATTAGAACGTAGTGGTTACCACCATCGTTGTCACCCAACAGCAGCAGCTCCATATGCTCGTCATATTTTGTTTTGGAGTTTCTAATTGGATAGAACTGCTTCTTACCCTTATAGCCAAACACTGATATGCTTATGGAGTTCTTCCTCTCAATTTTATCAATATCGCTTATTTTCACGGGGAAGTCTATTCCCTCATAGTCTAGGTTTTTCGCGAACTCTCTATCCTGCCGTGTTATGGTGGTTGCTCTTCTAGCCCTTGGGCTCACATGTCTCAGATGACTCCACATAAAACATTTATTGTCATTGTTTTGCATATTTATGAGGCCGCATTTTGGATTGCTGATGTCTGCGGGTAACTTCATATATGAACTACCCTTTAGAGGCTTATACATCGCAATATTAACGTAATGGCTCTCAATATTTAGTATGATCCAGTTTGAATCTAAGTTCTGGAAGGTTTCAATTCTAGATAAGATTGTCAGTTGGTTTTGGGCGGCAGTGCTTTCAATGTCCTCGAAGTTGGTTGCGGTTCCTGTTTTTGACTTGAAGTATATTGAATCCTTCTTTGTTTTATCATTTCCGATTTCCTTCGACATTCTTACCTTAATGGTTTCCGTATATTTCAGACCTCCCATTCTCTTCAGCTCATTTACTAATATTCCCCTCACCACCTGCCTACTCGCGGTCATCTGGTCTAGGGGATCCATATAATTTGGAGTTATGGAATAAGTCACAGCGGCACCATTTGCGGCAGTTTCTATTTTCCTATAGGATGGCTTCTCGAGGTATGTTCCAAAAGGATCGATTTCATGTTCCTCTGGTGCGACCACCACCGGCTGTTCCCCAACTTCCTTGGTTACCTTCACAGGCTTCCTTAACTTTGGAGGAGGCACTGGCTTTTTAGTCCTAGGCTTGGGAACTGGTCTTTCCCTAGGAATTACAGTTCTTGGTTTGGGAACTGGTCTTTCCCTAGGAATTACAGTTCTTGGTTTGGGAACTGGTCTTTCCCTAGGTTTCCATGGAGCCACACCCTTTGGTACCTCAGGAGCTTTCCTTATTGGTTTCTTGCTGAGGTCCACAGTCACCGTGAACTTATTTGGTCCCACCTGAGTTATGACGCTATCCGCGGGAACTGAGAGTTTTATTCGGTTCTGACTTATGAACCTCTCCGCGACTGTTTGTTTTCTAGTCTTAGGTTTCGGTGTTTCAGCTACCTTAGCCTTTGGTGGTCTACCTCTTCTTTTGGGGACCTTAGCTTCTGGTGTTTTACTTACCTTAGCCTTTGGTGGTTTGGGGACCTTAACATTTAGTGTTTCAGCTACCTTAGCCTTTGGTGGTCTACCTCTCCTTTTGGGGACCTTGGCTTCACTATCAGCCTTAACCTTTGGTGGTCTACCTCTAGGACGCGTGGAATTCCTGAGGTTTTCAAGCCTCTTCATCTCCGCGTTTTCCTGGGAATCATCCGTTCTCCATCTACCTCCCATTGTTGGTGGCAGGCCTTCAACTCCTTTACTTAGTAGGCTCTGGTACGCCTCCTCAACTAGTAGGGCCTTTGCCTTCTGTCTCTCGGAATATTTCCATGTTGGCATTATTCCTCTCTTACCCTTGTAGTTGAGCGGGAGTCTCCTTGGTCTCTTGGGATCCGTAGTGCGATCGCCTTCATCAATGAACAGTTGTTCTTCCATGAGGGGGTTTTCTCCCTTATCCTTAGGTGCAACACGGTAGAACTTGTCATCACGGATTTTCTCCACTTCATCCTCGAAATTTTCCTCATAATCGCTGTCATCAAGTATCTCACCAAGCGCCATAAGTTGTTCAACGGTCATATCGTTTATGTCAAAGTTTGTCGCCATTTTTTCACTCTTTCTCTATATACTATAGGTAAAAAAAAATAGGCCTATTTTAAGGCCTATTTAATTTTTATTTAATTTAATAATTTTTATTTAATTTAATTTAATAATTTAATATTTAATTTAATAATTTATTTAATTAATAATTTTTATTTTATTTAATTAATAATTTTTATTTAATAATTTTTATTTTATTTAATTAATAATTTTTATTTAATAATTTTTATTTTATTTAATTTAATAATTTTATATTTTATTTAATTTTATAATTTATTATTTAATTTCCAGTTATTATAATATTTACAATTTATAGGTTTCCATCCCAACTCGGGGAAGACTCTACCATATAACCTATTCTCAAGGATGTCCACAATTCTTTTGGTCTTAATGTCCTCAGGAGGGTTTCTCAGCGTGATGTTGTTCATGCTGGCTATCCTCAGTAGGTAAAACTTATATCTAACTATGTTGCGCCCCCTTTGCAGTCTAAGTCTTTGTATACATCTTACGATGCTTCTAAACTGCTCCCTTATGGTATCCCTATCCCCAGAAGCAACATGCTCTAATAAGTGTCTCTCGAACCAACGGACTCTGTTATGACAAGACTTCTTTTTCAGATAGTCGTCCTTGTTGTGGTTGTAACTAACATAGTATGTAAAGCCATTCCTATCACTTGTGCCGCATTGTGTGCATACATCTGCTCCATCTATTATTACAATAGACTTACTACCACATTCACTACATACTGGATCATATGTATGTTTTGTTTTTATTCTACTCTCCACGTACTTTCTCACGGTAGCCTCTAACTCTTCCAGTGTATTTGCCTTCCTACCTACCCGTGCCATTTCGTCAGGTGTTACCATCTCTAACCATTCCATTCCTCTATACTATATATGTAAAAAATTTTTACCATATTATTTACAGTATTATATCATTAGGTAAGCCACCCCTCCAACCACCCCACCTGTAATTAAACCAAAGATTGCCATATATTCTTCCATCTCAGAGCTAGGTTTGTAGTGATTACTTAACTGCGGCCTTCTTGGCATAGCTTTATGTGTTAACTCATTGATTCTTCTAACGAGTTCCAGTGACTTATTCGTTGAATTAATATCCTTATTTGCCTCGGCTAGTTCCGACTTTAGTTCAGCAATCCTATTTCTTCTATCATTGACCTCTTCAAGGTACTTCTCTCTTTCAGCTGTTAGGTTCTCCATTGCAAGGTTATGTCTATGAGCTTCCTCAGCGTATCCATTCTTGTCAAACATTTTAAATAAGAATCCTGCTCCTGCAAATGCAAATGCATTAAATAGTCCTCCTGCTACTGCTCCCGCCATTGTATAGTCTTACCTAGGTTTGAATGGATTATCTGGTATATACTTCTTTTCTTTCAGGTAGGAGACTAGTAGAGATGAGAGGCTAACTGAGACAGCTAACTTTACCATTCCTTTTACATTCTCTGGGGTTCCTAACGGTTCTTTCAATAGTTTTTTCGATGCCATTGATATACCAACTGCTCCTGCTGTAAGTAACACTGCGTTGTACACTTCCGCGGTCATCTTTGATTCTTTACTCATCTTGCTATAATATATATTATGTTTAACGTATCATTCGAGTGAATCTAACTTGGACGCATCAGCTTTCCTGGTTACTTCTACAGTTTCAGGGATGTACTTAGGTTCTGGTTTCTTTGTTTCCCTCTGATGCTGATTAAATGCTAGGGCAAGGGATACCAATGCGATGACCACTCCTACATATGCGATCATGTTATTGCTGGATGACTCCTCAGGTTCTGCAAGTTTCTTTTTCCTCTCCTTTGCTATTTTGCTGATTGCGGCTAATCGTTTTCCTGCAGCTACTCTTTTTGGGTCTTTCTTCTTTTCACTTGTTACTGCTTGAGTTTGCTCAGGTTTATCTTCCATTCTACTTGTAAGATACCTTAGGTTTAACTGGGTTTTATCTTGTGAGACATCTAGAGTCTACTTGTGAGATAACTCAAATTTACTTGTAAGATGTCTCAAATCTACTGGTGAGATAACTTAAATCTACTGGTGAGATAACTGGTGGGATAACTTAAATCTGCTGGTGAGGTATCTCAAATCTACTGGTGAGATGACCTGACTAGTACTTACCTGAACTGAACCTAGGTCTGTACAACCTTACAGCGCACTATGTGTTGTTCGCTGTGACCTTCTTTGCGACCTTCTTAAGTGAAAAGTATTCGTTGATTCTAATGCAAGTTTTTACAAGGTCATCTGACACCGTCACCATGTAACCTATCTTCATAAGTTTGTGGAACCATAACACTTGCTTTTCACTTGCGACTCCGGTGCCTTTGGGAGACTTGAATTCAATTGCAAATCCTTTATACTTCCCCATAGGATTCTCTATAATAATATCTGGCTGACCACCTTTGTATCCCTTCTTCCAGGCATCACATCTCTTAGATGATGTGTCCTGATACTCACCTAGACCGGGTATTACCACAGCCTCTGGGTAGTTATCCCTGATGTAACTCACGACTGTGTGGTGTAGGTCCGTTTCATTTAATAGGATCATTTGGTTGTATCTAAGTGACCTTCTATCTGGTAAACTGTATGTGCCAGTTTTTCGTATAGATGGTAGGACATCAGTAAATACCCACCTCCTGAACTCCTTTGCTGTATTAAGTTCTGATCCAAAAATTAACTGGTACAAGCCCTGTTCTGTAATTAGGATGGTGCTAGGATGACCCTTCAAAAGGGTGTCCTCGAGGACACCCTTTCGGATGGACCCTAGAGTGCACTTATCCTCTTCCCAAACATGGTTTCTAACTGCTTTCTTCGTGTCAAGGTACCCAAGAGATTCCGCCACATCTTTTGCGTAAAACAGGATCTCATCACCTTTCTTAGTGATTCTCACACTAACGTTAAGGTCTCGGTTCCTGAAGAGTTTTTCCATCTTTCTCTATATTATATATGTAAAAATTTTTGGACCTATTTTATTAAGTATTTAATTTCAATTTGTTGATAGGCATTCCCTCTTCCCACCCAACCTATCACCAAGTGTGTCCTATGGTAAATAAAATACTACGACTCATGGAGTTCCTTGTATATCTTTACAACTGTTTTGATAGTGTCATCTTTGAAGGTATAGAAGTCGTACTGGAGTGGCCCAACAACCTTTTCCTTGAACGCGTGTATGTCCTTCTCCAATGCATTAAGGGTATCCTGTATCTTCTTAAGACCCTTTTCATTAGCCTCAGCTTTCTCAATCAGTTCATTAATTATGCCTTCAAATTCAGTTCCTTCCCAAGCGTTATCCCATTCGTATCCTGACATTCTTCTGTATTTAATAAGATATATTTGGCTTCCTCAGATATTTCCTCAGGTTCCTCCTTCTTGTTCCACTTATGCGCAACAACATGCTTGGCTGTTGTACAACCACCTGATATTAAACCTATGAATGGAATGTTGGGGGATATCATTCTTGTTAGATAACATACGTCATCCTTTAGAAGTTTATCGCTAAGTAGTTCCTCTGACAGCTTCTCTGAAGATGCTACTGCACCGAAACTCCCCAGTACAGAAGCAAA